CTTCCAATACAAGAAGGATTCACAAATGCCCTACACATACCTACATAGATTTATACTGGGATGCCGAAGAATGAGGGATAGACGGCCCCAAACGGATTAATTCCACGGTACTGCGTGAGCGTTACCTGGACTAACATTCGTACAACTATAATACAGTGCATCAGTACATCTGCCCACTGTTTGTACTGACACTCATTATTGTACGCGACATTGAATATCGAAGCTATGCAAAGAGGGTTTTACCAGTGTGCCAGTACAGTATACCAATACAGCATACCAGGTTATTAAAGTCAGCCAATTAGAAGTAGGAACACACACACAGCAAGCGGAACAACAGCGCCAGATTTTGGCTAGTATGCACAAGGAAATTTATGATGCAAAGGAAACCCGGACATTTTGAACAGAAGAAAACATCTCAATGTGCAGGCAGCGATGAAGGCGTGCGGCTGGAGCGTACCTTCTCCAATATTGTACAGTACTGATTGCCTTCCAAGACAGTAATAATAGCATCAACACAACCACAAGTAATATTAAAATTTGCCGCAATTATTGCAACATCCTACTGAAATACACGAGAACTTACATTATTAGCGTTCAGCTTGAGCTATCACATATGCATCAGTACTCAGCAACCACTGCCGTGAAAAGGCGACAGGCTTCGACGGGGTCGATAACGTCGCTGGAGCTTATTGAACACATTCTGGACTCTTTCGCGCGGTATCAGTATTACTGATAGGATATTAACCTGTTCGGTTTTCCTCGCTAAATGGAATATAATGTATTTAAAGCTTTTTATTCATGCATGTTCTATCATATTTCGATGGTGATACGGTCGCCTGCTACACTCAGTAGCCGCTGCATACATCGTCTGTAACACAAGGAGAAAGTAGCTGTCGAAGCTAGAGCGTCTTCTATTTCTCTATGCAGCCTTTGTTAATCGATATCAAGGATATGTCTGCAACTCTGAGCAAGCGCAGGATTCCTTCCAGTGTGTATCCAGGATGGAGCTAGCACAAGATTTCCAGCAGCCGATCTTCCAGCCTACCACTTAGATCGCGGAGATTGAAATATGAGTGAGCCAACTCAGAGATGAAACAAATTAATGTGTGATTATATTTTCATTTCACACAGCCATCATTAAGGGTAGTCAGGGTTTCCTTTTCAACAAGAAAATCGCGCCAACATTTACCTTATCGTCTAACACTTTTTCCCTTTTTTTCCGTCTGTTTTCAGATCGCGAACGGTAGCTTTTATCGTTCAGATTACGATCTGAAATGCTTGCAATTTTGTGATCATGTGAACTGCCGTTGAAAAAGCTATTTGAGCACAACTCTGTTTACCCTTACTGCAATGGGTTTTGACCAATTACTGCAATAAGAAATACATGACAACATTTTGGGTTGACTTTTTGTACTAGCCTAGTTTTTGAAAAGATTTTACTTGAACATATTTTGAGAAATTATTGGACGAAAAGTGGAGCAGAAAGAAGTTATTCAGTACCGAATATGCAATAGTCATTTTATTGACTTTCCAACCTCTGGTAGCAATTGTGAATTACTGTATGCTCTCCGCCACTTAATCAATGGCGGCTGTAGCTGAAATCTCAGGATAACTTTCGGCATTACACAAAATATAGTTTAAAAAAGGAATTCCCGGCGTAAGTCGCTGACAGTCTAGTAACCCATGTGATCGAAGGGCGTACCAAAATCGTTTCTGCTTTGTAATAAGGGTTGCTATACCATATAGGGCGGCCCTACGTACTAACCGTAAGGATATCGCAGTAGCACCGATAATGCTGAATGGAGTATGGAAAAAAGAATAACTTGAAACTACTCCTTCTAACGGTGATGACGGATTGGGGATGCGCTTCCAAGCCACACCGGAGTGGTCAGATTAAGAGTATGAGAGAGGGGGTGCACACCCGCCTAAATGTATGATGCGGTGAAAGCATCAGAGCATGCACAGAATTGGAGGCTGTCATTCTGATGGCATACTTGCAAGGGGAGCCAGAGCTTCCACATCCTCCGAACTTTGTCAAGCAAATCCTGAATAGTGAGCATCGCGCTCTTCTCGAAGACATCACGAGACGTATCTAAATAACACGTTAGCGGTCACTTTGCCGTCGCACGTGATATTACCAAATCATGCACCGTATGTACACATACAGGAAGATTTACACAATGCGAACGTGGTACCATCCAGTGTAGTTGATTGGTAGTGTTCCGTGGGCTTCTTCAGGGCGTCAAGCGGCTGGTTTATGACGGCAGTCACACTTTCCGCTTCGTTTTCTACTACAATCGCATTTCTGTGTGGTGGAAGAAATACGGCTTCGTATCCAGCTAGCCGTAATCGTATTGCGAGATGCAACCCGACGTCAGCAAAACGCAGGGTTTCACTGTACTTCCCCAAGAACGACACAGTTATCATGATCGAAGGTTCTAGATGCATGCACCAACAAGACCGACAAAATACCACAACCGGATTCACAAAGAGGTATTTGCGCAGCTGACCAACCCGGAGAAGATTATTGACGTGACGAGGATCAAACTTACCAACTCAACACGGACCCTCTATTAATTCCTGTTGATTTGCGAAATCCGTGTTCATAGTCCGCACAAGGCATGAAAATGTGCGAATTATGTACGAAGCATGGTGCTCAAACACAGGCTCGCAACACATGAGGTTTTATTAGCGATGTAAATAGAATTGCCGCCACTGGCCACGCTGCGTACCAAATACATGTGGGTGAGGATTTACCAAGCTGCTAACC